ACTTTTCCACCAAGTTTTCAACTTCATCAGTTCAGTTTCGCTATGAAATAGGATAGAAGGAAGTTCCCATTTTGTTCTTATTGTTGTTGTCATTATTGTTGTTGTTTATATTGTTGTGTCTTCTCTTGTTCTTATTGTTCTCGTTAATGCAGTGTGTCGAGAATTGTTTAAGTTAAAACACACTAACCGAGTTTAACTGCTAAGGAAGTTAGAATACAAACAAAAGCAACAACCACAAGCATAAAAAAAGCAATAAAAGGAAAAATAAAACAAGATAAAAACTGAACGCTGTATTTAATTCTCGAGTAGACAATAGTAAAATGTATTTACTGAATAGAGCTCCTTAGACATATGCGTACATAGCAGAATTAAGTTCGCTTTAGCAACCTTTCTTGAAAACAGCGCTATAAAACTATGCGTACACACGCACATACATTACATACATATATATAAACGCATGTCCATAGAACTATTATAAACTAAGGGAAAAAAAGAAAAAGTGAAACTTTTCGTTACTTTCACAAGCTATTGCTGCCAACTACATGTAGCGCTTTGGGTTTGGCATTTAAATTTAACGCTACTTTTATTTCTTTTTTTCGCCTTTTTATTATTGCCCCGCTAATGCACTAAATAACATACAGTACTCTTCACACAAGAGCCGAGAGAGTCAGAGCAGATCAGGCAAAACACTCTGTGAAAGCAAAACAACAGTGGATCGTTACATTTGGTGATCTCTAGCGTTTTGCATTAATTCAGAAAATTCAGAAATTAAAGTTCGTAGAAAAAGTTTCCTTATTACAGCAACAACAAGCACTCGTAACAAAACTTTGGCATCGTTTTCCATACATTCCGTTACATACACTCACTGTTGTCTTATGTGACGCGTGATGTTGTTTGTTTCTCGTTAGTACCGTTTTTTTAATAATTCAGATTCTAAGAAATACCACTGGATGCCACCACCACAATCGAAGAATTTTATTAAACATGATTCTTACGAGAAATCGTTTTTTTCATGAACGTTTCATTTAAAATGACATATAGAAGACATTGATTTGTTTAAACCCAGAAATTCAGGAACTTCACACTCTCTCCGTTCTATGCGATATTGGAAGAGAAATCTTATGACTAATTTACGACAATCCGAATTTCCTCACAAAGCCGCATTTGTTTGTTCACTTATCGCTTTGCTTGTAACGACCGTCAGTAAGAGCTGGTTATCTTCGAAACGGCTTTCGCAGCAGCCCATCTATTTTGATAAAAACGCTTGGGATAATTTAATTAATCGTGCTTAACGCCTACATTGAAGAAATCGTGCAGTACGCTTGCTGTAGAACTGACAAAAACGCTTCCTCCAAGACTGCGTGAAGTCGCTTGCTTTCTTCGTCAGTTAGAAATGCTATACATTCTAATACATTCTGCTTGCTGGGTGTTAGAAATTCAACGCATATGGTTGAAATATGGAGCTGATCCGCTTACCATTTCAATTGTAGCTTATAAACTCAAATCATAAATTGTTCTGTCGTTGATATCAAGTTTAAGTTCGAGCCAAATCTAGTGCTAGAGAAAGATAAAATTTTTAGCATAGAATATTATGCCCTAAGGCAAGGCAAGGCAAGAAAACAGCCTGGAAAACAAAACGGTGAATGTTCAAACACTACTTCAAAGTAGTACAATAACCGAGTTTCCTAAGCGTAAAGAACACTGTTGTGTAGTAGAATAATTTTCTCGTTACGGAAAGACCGCAGGCAAGCATATACCTTCTTTAAGGTACGCCCATCCAGTATGTACACAAGGCATGATTTATAAAAGTTTTGTTTGTTAGAATTTTATTTGCTCGTCTGTGTTGTTTTACAGTTTACTTTGAGTATTTAGTAGTAATTTAATAAATTAATTTATGACGCAAACACGCATACATATATTTACGTAAAGTTGTTATTGCCTGAAAGCTATCTCTCTATGATTTTAGTAAATATACAAGTACAAGAGCAAGGTAAACATACACTGAAATGCCGAATTTGTTAGTGTTTCTAATTAAGTTATGTTGTTCGAAGATAAATTCAATAACTATTAGTGCAGCACACTCACTCACTCGCTACATACTCAATCAATGTTTTAATATATTACCTCTGCTCTGGATGCTATTTACAAAATAATATAAAATTAATATATTAAAGTAACTAATTCATTGATGCTATAACTAAGCAGGTCTGTTGAGGGTTTTATATTGTGCAAGTAAATTGAAAGAAAGAGAGAGAGAGAGAGAGAGAGAGAGAGAGAGAGAGAGAGAGAGAAGGAAAGAGAGAAAAGCAAGAAGAAGAAATATTTAGGTAATAATCCTTATTTGAGTGTTTGGCTAAACGAAAGCGCACGACAAGCAGATAAAGAAGCACTTTTTCACCCCAAAGAAATGACCTGGATATCGTTTAACATCTTCTCTCTTCCCATAAAAAGCAATAGCTTTTTAATGTTTCGCTTGCAACGTGCAGCAATACTGTCGCTCGTGGACGTTTTCCTATGCAAAGTGTTCGGCAGACTTCAAAAATTAATCACAATCCGCAAAAGTCCGATTAGAGATGCATAATGAAAGTGACGTCACTTTCAGAAACGCCACAAGAGGAATGTGCCTAAGAAATTGCGTTTTGCAAATTCTGTCACTTTATCCTAATCCCATAAAGTCGTTGCCTGATTTCTTGGAAGCAATCACAACGCAATTGATCAGTTGGTCCGTAGCCAACAACTTTCAGCAAAACTTTCTTCTTCGATTTTTTCATTGAAAGGAAAATTTTTAATATTTGATTTGTCAAAATCACATAAAATCCTATTGTCGAGGAGAGGGATATACTTTTGTGAATGAATAGATTGCAGCCTACATGTATATACGACTTTGCCAGCATGAAATTTATTGTATGCAAGGATGATGATGACACCAGTAATAGTGGTGATGATAATAACGACAATACCTTGCAATACATTGTTGAACCGCATATGCCGACAATATGTCACCCACAGGCCATGCGCTCACGCATTAAAACAGCCACGAATACGCGTTAAACTCGAAACTGAATTTCTAGTCACTGTAGCCATTGACGAATGAATTGCATTCAATGGTACTTTATTATGCAATTTTCAGAACAAACCGCCATTCGCGCGAACCACTGAAACGATGTGTTTCATTAACTTCAGTCTCTCTAAAGAGTTACCTAAAATCAGAAATTCGATACATATCAACATATAAACAAAACCAAAAAAAAAAAAAAAAAAAAAAGGAAAGAGAAAAACAAATACCATTCAGTCCAAGTTTACAAGTGTATATGCATATGTATATATATATATATATATATATATATATATATATGTATGTATCTAGGTAGATATGTGCATATCTCAATCAGTGTATTGGTTAAACATTTTATAAGTAACCCTTTAAATTTAACCTCGGGTTTTTCTGTCAATTTGCAGTGTCGTTTACAACAACGACAACAACAAACACATTCGCGGTCGTTATGTGTATGCATTCAAATATTATGCACGCTATGACATTTTGACCACAAAAATGTGTTGTTGTACGTACATGGAAAGCGCAGATGTACATTTACTCTGAAATGCTTGCACACTGCCGACATCCTCATCATCATCGTCCATCCATACGTATGTGTGTGCATATTATGAATGTATATAAATTTGTACATAGGTACACAATCGGCCATCGGTTGACAATTGCAGCAATCATAATTAACAGTTAATGAAGTTTTAAACGAATGAGTTTAATTTAAAGGCAGACCGCAAATAATTGCGGCCAACAGGCAACGAAATAAAAAATAAAGACATTTTTACTTTATTTTACTTTTCACGGTAAACAATATTATGCATAAAATGCAAAAGTAACTTGCTTGCGTGAACCGCACAAGCAGCGAGTCCGTCTTAAAAGGATTAATTAAAAACGAACGGTACAATTGCAATCGTCCGGGGCGAGCGGCAATTTTTACATTAAAGACTCCTTTACAAACGACCGAACGACGATGCAATAAATACAAACGGCGACGATAAACAAAAAACAAAAAGATAAGCAACAGCAGGAGGAAAGCTCCTGCTATACACTGTGTATATGCCGTTGAATCTATTCTAGCTCCGATAAGTTGCACTTTTAACAGAAAGCGCAGGTCAAGCAATGTTAGCGTCGTTTCCCTTTCACTTCAGAAATACTATAGTTTTTTGAAAAGAAAAGAGAAGAAGAGAAAGAGTAAAAGATTATCTCGCAAAGAGAACGTTAGTAGAGAGGTTTCCTAATAATACAAAAGGATCGAAATGTTAAGACTGCTTTAAAACTTTACAAATTCGTAAGGCATTATAAATAATCGGTGTAACAACTACTACATAAAGGGCAAGGATTTAAGCGAGAAATTGTGAATCAAAGTATGTGTAGAAGTAAATAGCAATTACATAGGCGCAGCATATACTTTCACGGACGAGGGATGTAGCCGTGTAGGTGAGAACCGCGGCCACCAAGTCAGTGTTCGCGGGTTCAGATCTCAATGCATTAGAGTTTAGCTTGGTCGTAGCTCGTTTCACGGCGTAACACCTGTCGATTGGGCAGAGACAGCCATCGCGCTGCGGCTTTCATCTCCTTGCTTCTTTTCCTTTTCTCAGTTCTTTCCGACCCACACCGTGTTACACGAGTAGAGGGCATCCCTTCAAAGTGCCCACATTTACTGATCAGTGCATAAGGATGAGCTTCAAGTCTTTCCTTCAGAGACTATCGCCAATTCGTTTGTCTAAGGAGACAAAACGCCCACTCTCTCTCTCTCTCTCTCTCTCGCAAAGTATCGATCCTACACCACTTGTCATCACGTCCGTACGCGGATCTTGCACACATCTGTAAACGATATAACTTATGTTAAAGAAGATCTAGATTCAATATTATTAAAATTATATTTTGCTATCTATGTAATTTTCTAATAATAATTTTTTAAATTTATTTCTCGTTTTGGTTTCTTTCTCAGGTCCGCAAAAAGAAAGCAGTCATGAAATGTAAATTCCGCTGCGCAAATATATCCAAGCAGCAACTATTATCACGTAATAACTGGTATTGGCGGTAGTATTTTGTAATCCTTGAAACAACATCAATTCATATCTGGATGCAAACCAATTTTTATTCCTTCTCATAAGCTATTTTTTCTAATTTCCGATATCACTTTAGTAGACATATTTATTTACATCATATAAGAAAAAATTATAATCACAAATGTAATTGTATGTAAACAATAAACCGTACTTCTTTTTAATAAAATACAATGTAAGAACAAATAAATTAGTTTGGTAGTTCGTTTGCAAGGAAGCTATGTAAGTATAATATGTCGACAAAAATCTAAATTTTCTACGGACAAACAACAACAGTTTACTACAACAACAACAACAAGTACAACAACAACAAGTACAACAACAACAAGTACAACAACAACAA